TAATATTGTGATTTTTTTTTTGCCTAAGATTGACTTTGTCTAAAATAATAATTAACATTGACTTTGGCTAAAAAATTTTTTACTCGAATTTAAAAAACTGCATTGACATGCTATTTAAATATTAGTGTTCTTCGTTATATATTATGTACTCCTATCCTTATAAAAAAGGTTTTTATATTCTAAATTGATATGGAGATTTTAAAAGGTAAAATTTTATTGTCGAAAAAGCATTACAAAACTAAAAAGATGGGAACGATAAGGGCCACAATAGGTACTCCAATTATTTATATGTAATGTTGAATTTGGGTCAATCTGTTTGAAAATAGTGTTAGAAGTTAGCGATAGTGTATTTAAAAGGTTATTTACGGGTAGTGGCTAGCGTTTGCATTTTCAAAGTAATACGCATCGTTAAAATTTTATCCAAAACGCTAAGGTTGGTGCATTTATCTTGAATCTGAGAAACCAACTCTAGTTCTTTTGCCCATCTCAGGGCAGCAATTTTGTTGCCACATTTCAATGAAGGTAAAGCCGTCTTGGTTGGAGCATAGGGGAGGGATAATGCTCCTGTCCCCTCATTTGGTGTTGGTTCAAAACATTTGGAGGTTGGGAGAGTTTTATTATTCCTTCCCATCCCCCACCCATAACCCTCTAAAACCAAAAACACTCTAATTCTCTCTATAACCACCCCTTTACCAAACAAGCAATGTGCATCAAAAGCAATGAAAAGTATCAAATATTTTACTTCAATTGGTCTTCAACATAGTAAATTTGAGCGAAAATACAAAGCAAGAACAATACTATGTATTGAATTAAAAAAATAAATGTATATAATGCAATATATAGATATAAATGGACGAAATGTAAGAAACAAAATCTTTAAAGGCGTTAAAATTATAAAGTAATGCATAAAAAAATGAAGTAGTCATAAACTGTCTAAGCTACTTCAAAAAAAATAAATTGTCTAAGCCACAAATTAAATAAAAACTTATTTAATCAAAATACGGATCCGTCGAAATCATAAAATGAAATCTCTTTAGTCTTTCTCTATTTTGATATTCTTCATCTTCTTGCTCGACGAATCCCCAACTCCATGATAATGTTCAATGTCTTTCAATCTCTTGTTGAGAGTAGAATCGGTGATAACATCCACATCTTGTTCCAACTGTTTATCCTTAGATTCTCCAAAAGCTTCAATCAAATTCTACATGACAAAGTCAAAAAAGTATATTAAATTTAGTCAACTGGCTCTTTTGTTAAATTAAATGACATTAGTGTATGAACATTCATCTATAAATAATTTCACTATGTTTTGATCACTATAAACAATTTGTGGAGCAGAACAACAAAGGTACATACAATTATGTTGTTTTACCGTATAATTTTTGTCCATGAAAAAATATTACCTTGAGTATCATTCAGTCTTGTCAAAAAATGAGTGTTCACCCATCTCTATATGTAAGATTCATGAAGTCTTACAATATTCGTATGGGTTTAACACAGTTTAAATATTGAGCATGGTCTATTCATTAATATGTGTTATTGGGTATATTCAAGGCATACTGATATGGGTATGGTCTCAATGCCTACCAAATACTGAGGATAATGGACAATGTTATCTAACTGCGTCATAAGTTCAGTATTAACACATAAACACAGCTGAGCAAGTATTGAGCAAAGACAACTCAATGTTCAGGAAGTCTTCACCAATAGTTCAGCACCAAAGTATTGCTTGAAAATTTACAATATGGGTATGGTCTAAATTTTCATGAAGTCTCGACCAATAGGCTATTTTCTTCATGAATATGAGTATGGTTTCATTATGGGTGTGGCATCAATATGCTGTAAAACTCATTCCTGCAGTTTTCAAAGCCATGATTCTGGCATTGATGGGTATGGTCTCAATGTCTAGCAAATCCAGCATCATAAAGAAACCGTAGCCAATTACCCAGGCTACCATTAAATTTGGCATCATAAAGAAACCGTAGCCATGTACCATTAAATCTGGTATTGATTCTGGACAGTCAGTCTATCATAAAGAAAATTATATACAACATAAGAATTCCTCTGTCTGTCATTCTAATTGATAGACCAATTACCCAGGTAAGTTCTCTATGTTCATCATTCCAGAAATCACAAAAAGTTTGAATTATTGTCTCAAAAGAGTTCAATCCAGTTTAACTTTTAAATTTTTTGTTTAAAATCCTAAAGTCAATGGTATGGCATGTCGTGAAGAGCATGTTTTCACTCCTTCGACATGACTAAAAAGCCATCTTTTGTTCACCCAAACACCTGTTTTGTTTCATAATACCACTCGCACCCCAAGACTATGGTCTCATAAATAGATAATAATGCATGGTTGACCAAAACCTCTTGAAGACATTCTCAAGTTCAAAGTCAAAAAGCCTAGAGTAACAACTTCAAACAAAACAGTGGGAAATGTCTCTGGTGGTATGAATTTTTGGTTACTTAAGGTTAAGTATTCTTTCTGAATGATATAGAAACAGACCAAAAGAGAATGATGCAATGATTTAGTACCCACTCACCCTCGGATTCAACAATGAAAAAATACCAATTCATAAGAGACTCAATTTTTATTCAAGTGTGTGAGTAAATAGCCAAGAATTCTCACCTTTACACATGAAGATGATTCTCCTACCGAGAATGTATGCTGCGATAATTTCTCTCCAGTTGAAAGTCCCAACGTTACATTAGTCTATTTCATAAAGTTAAATTATGAAATATTAGATATCATATAGGAAGGTATAAGCAACACGTGACTATGTAGTAATCCGCTATCGATAAATTCAAAATTACGTTAAAAACGTATCTTATCAAACCTGGATTATGGATAAGAGAACCAAAGATTACCAACTAAGTATGGGTAGTTCGAGTCGGTTTCCAGTATTTCAGCAAAAGTACTCAACCTATGCCCATGCACTGGAATTTTGTCAGAAGTATATTCAGTAACAGTAGTTCTTGGTTGGAAATTAAGTCTGTACTCATGTCTCAAGGTACGATAATAGCCACTACTGATGCCTATGCCAAAATAGGCAAAGATGTAAACAGATTCCTCCTTGAGACGTCTCTCAAAAGTTCCGACTAAACTTTTCCGGACTGTTGCATGGATTGTACTCCCCTTCAGATTTTTGAAAAAATATAAGCAACAATAAAAAACAATACACTACGTTTTAAAGCATATTTGATTGCTCTTCTATATCTCCATAATGTACTGTACTTCAGACAGTATTATTTATTGTGTAGTTTGTTTTGTTTTTGACTTTGATAAATTAAATAGTGCTTGATTTATTAAAAAGGAAGCACAGTAGCAATAACAATGTACTCATTGGACATCATTCAGCACCAAGTATTATTCACTGTCAACCTGCAGATTCAAAACTATATATTCATATGACAGCATTCGACAACAAAGTAATATTCAAACGGCTAAACGCAAAGCATCAAGAAATTGGCAAACCTCAGGTAATTTTTTTAAGAAAACAATGGCAAAGCATCAAAACACCGACAAACCCCAGTCATTACCCATCCCTTCTACATTCATAAGAATTTTGTTTGACAATTCATTGATTCTAATGAGAGGTGGAAAATCTTTCATTCATAACTCAAGAGAAAAAAATGGCAAGAACTTTAAAAAGTTGAAGAAACAATAAGAGGGGAACATAATGCTAAATTGTAGTACACAGTTGACATAAATTTCATTTGCTTTGACTCTTAAGTCCAGTACTTTTGCTGGAGTTCAAAAAAAAGCAAGTCTGAAAATGAAAATGAATTTTCCTTTTACTTTAAAAAAAGAAGCAAGTCTGAAAAAAAGCAGTCAAGAGTGCTGGATAAAAGCACTATGGATAATCTGTCATTCATAACTAAATGGAGGCCAAAATTTCATTTTACAAAGTTGAGACTTAAGAGTCAAAGTAAGTCTGAAAACAAACCTAAATTTTGTGCATGGATCAAACATTTTAAACAGAGAAAGAAGCTTCTGTAATTACTTGGGCAGTTGTAGTACACATTAGACATTGTAACTAACTGGACTTAAAAATTTGAAATTACAAAGTTGAGACTTAAGAGTCAAATCAAGTCTGAAAATTAATCTACATTTTGTGAATGGATCAAACAGATCAAAAACTTTTACCACTAAATCCTTTAAAAAACATCAAATAGTATGTATGTCAAGAACATGAATGTCTAGAAAATACTGGTTCATGGACAGTGAGTATAACATAAAGCATATTAAATCCCACATAGTAAAGCATCTGTCAGTCAATCTAATTCATAGACTAAAAACCCAGATGTGTACTCTATGTTCAACAGTCCAGAAATTAAAAAAACTGGTTCAAGTAAAAAACTTGATGTATAACAGTCCAGAAATTAATAACTCCAGACAATATATGTTCTTTGAAACATGATTACAAATAACTAAAAAAAAGTTGTCAAAGTCTTTAGATCAAACACATAATACAATTTTTACACATAATAAGAATCATGTGCAAAATTATATATGATTCCTTGACTTACATGTTCGTCCATGAACACCATCTCAATAGAATTTGTCTTCTTTTGTTCACTGTATAGAGGTAAAGCATATAGACTTATGACACAAACCATGATTCTCTAACATTCACTTGTTGGATTGATTTTTGATAAAGGATGGATAGTCATCTTGTCGTAAAAATGTGTTACGGAGGAATAATGGAAAAAATTTCAATGGAAGAAAAACAGGGGTTCTGTGGAGTATAATTTTAACTGATACAAAGTATTTATAGGGAATGTAGGAATGATAATAAGAATGAATATCCGCAGAAAATTACTCTACATACACGTAAAAGGAATTTTTTGGGAAATAATAGTTTCTGAAATTGAATTTCCCAAAAAAAAACAGAGATGGAAGATAAATCTTGAAAGAAATAATAACTTGGAAAGAAATGTAATAGGAAGACTGGATTTTGCTCCACAATACACAAATATTCACAAAAAATTTGGGAAAAAAAATACCTAATTTGAAGTCTTTCCATGGTGAAGATGGAATGTTGATCCGCGAGTTGACCTGGATCGGCTATTCAGTCGGACGAGGATGGAAGATAAATCTTGAAAAAATCTTGGGAATTGCGGATTTCTAGCGACGAAGATGGAAAGGCGAGAAAGGGTTGCGCTGCAGATTGGGACGACGAAGAAGGTTCCGCTGGAGATTGGGAATTCCCCTTTTTCCTCCGCTTGGAATACGCACGGGAGAATGACGCGTGGATGCTGATTTGTCAATAAAATAAACTCTCACTAAATACACGTGTCATCATCTAATTTAATCAACTCTCAAATATTATATTAAAGGATTTCGCAGAGTAACATTGCCAACAGACGAAAAATCAATTATCTGCTGTTGCATCTTGCAATTGTCCAAAACTAACATTGTCCCAAACTAGTAGTATACGAGTATTACTCAGACCGCACAAAATTGTATCCCTGTCGGACTGAATGAACATCTCCATAATGTTACAACTACCACCTCTGCCTGACCTCAATACCAAACCGACAAGCTTTACCCTTTCCAAATTGTGCGTGCTATTTTTGAAACTCTTTGCTGATCATTTACTTCTTCTCTGATTTGGAGTGAGACTGGGAATATGCAGTTCCCTCCAGCCATTCATCCATTGCGGCATCTGTTATCCCGGTTCCAACTTCCACCTTTGCCTTTAGAGCCCTCTTGCTTTTCTGAAGAAGAATTAAGTTACAGCAGGGTTAACACATAAGGAGTATCTTGTAATCATATATTAGACAAAGAGAGGTCATAGATTGCTTATTCATTATGTAACGACTGATATCTATTTTACCTTTGACAAATTTTGAAAGCAATCACGAATCCAGAACCCGAGGAGGCCAACAATGGCAACTCCTAGAGAAAACAAGAAAACAGACTCAACACTGAGAAGGCCACTATAGTGCCATTGTAGAATGTGCTTTGGTATGTGAGCTGGTCCACTTCATATACAGTGCTGCTCACAAGATCAAATGTTCCAGGCTGCAAAAAAAAAGTGCTCCGTAATAAATAACTTGTTGTAGCTAATAAAGAAGAAATCCCAGAAAAGTTTTTTTTAGATGTCAGAACCAAATTGCTTCAACAACAACAACAACAACAACCCAGTTATATCCCACAAGAGTAGGGTCTGGGGAGGGTGTGTGTACGCAGACCTTGCCCCTACTTGAAAGTAGAGAGGCTGTTTCCAAAGAGACCCCCGGCTCAACGTCGAAAGTTGCATTGCTTGACTAACTGCTACTTCACTAATTAAAGAAGCGCAGACAGTTTAGAGATCCATTTTGATTTATTCCATCACACCCCAAAGCCAAAAAATGGTGAAATTTTGGCTCCATCAGAACCAAATTGCTTCATTTCGGGAAAAGCGGAATATTATTTACAGTATGTTTGGTTAGAGGAATTTGGAAGGATAAGAAAAAAAATGGTTTTCTCTCACTTTCCTCACCAAAATGGAAAAAAATTGGTTTTCCTCCTCTTAGTACATTTTCTCTTCTTATTTTCTTTTCATCTCTAAGAAAAACTGTTTTCCCTCTCATTTTCTTTTATCTTCCCTTTCAAACTCCTTGAACCAAAAATAGTGTGGAACCCTTCTGTGGGTTTGGTTCTCTTTATTTCTATCTCCTCTACGTAAGTTACAAATGCACGATTTCAGCTTTCTTAATAACCATAGATATCCAAATGATTAACTGACCTGTAAAAATTTGCTAACACCAAATAGATATGGAAATGCTGCTTGGGCAAATGGCCGAACGGTTGCATTGTTGAACCCCTACAAAACCGAAAAAATAGTTAAACCTATTATCGCATACTGACACTGAATTATGTACAGAAACTAAAAATTTCAGCAGTTAGAAGATTTGTAGCCAAAGCTTTTCCTTCCACATACCACCCAATACATGAGCCTATCATTTCCCAAAATAGATTTAAATGATAATTCTTTTGGGAAAAAGATATGGAGTACCATATTACTAACATAGGTGCAACATTTTTAAATTTAAAACACTCACACTCATAAGTGCAAAATTTCCCTATCTCGGACAAACCAGCACAATACATTAGTCATAAGACTCAGAAATCATAGATTCAAGGAACAAAAATTAAAATTATTCTAAATGTCTGCCTCTAGTTCATAACCCATAATGATGATTAAGGACTAAGTTCATGCCAGCAGTTCATAACAAATAACTTGAGTATGGCATATTTCTATGAAATATGAGTATATTTCTATGAAATATGAGTTGAATGTTCCACTAAAGAAGATCGAAGCGGTTGAATTACCACAAATTTATTAAGTGTGAAGGACCAAAAATAGCTTGTGATGGCTTACTGCTCATAGGCTCGTGAAAGAATTATATTGATGATTGGTTAAAGTGCAAAAATAATGCAAAAGAAGAGGCATGACCACTACCTGAGTAGAAAGATTTTGAACTATATAGCTATGATCATATGGAAGATGAAGGGTGGCTTGAATTGCAATAACATTTAGTGCAGATTCCCCTGCTTGTATTATCCAAACGTAATGGAAATAAGCATAAAACACAACTCAACACACGACACAGTAGATATTAAGGGAAGACTTCTGAGAAAACCGAACACTTTAAACCAAAAACAGAGCACCAACGAAACAGAAATTACCGTCATTTTTCATCCCAACTAAAAGTTCCTTCTGCTCGCCAGCGGGAACAACTGAATAAACAAGTAAATTGATGATAGACTGAGCAAAGCATTTTCAAAGCACAAAACTCGTAAGCACACGAATATAAGTGTATAACACAAAAGTACTAACGCTTTGAAGGGTTTCTGGGGAAAATACAAACTGTCTCTACTCCAGGAGCCGGACCAAAACTTCCCTCACCAAAATCTTGCACATCTTCACCACCTATTCCAATATCTCTCCCTTCCTCAATACCTTCAACTACTACAGTTTCTGAGTCACATCTAGCAACTAGCAAAACAGAAAAGAAATTTATCACAATAAAAATCAAAATAATGCATTATGATAATTTCTAAGGCCTTCCTATTCAGATCATTGAATTAAGAGGTTCAAACATTATATGCGAATATATGCCACTCATGAAAAAATATCAACCAGCAAACAACTACTACCACCCAGTTAATCCCACAAGATCAATAAACCAGAAAAACTATTCCTTAATAGTACATTGAGATTGGGATGGTAAGAATGCTAAAAAAAATGATTAATTGTCAAAAAATCTTGAGAGAGTAAGCTTTAATTATTATTGTTGTTGTTGTTGCGATTAGTTCATCTAAAATCTAAATACAATGCACATGTTGATTAGCTTAATGCAGAGGGATTGAGGCCACAGTACAACAATTTATATTCCAAACAAAATTCCAACTAGATCAGCATACTTGTTTCCCTCCAAAAGACAAACTTTCAGAGATCAATGTCTGAACCATGTCTCCGTTGACCGTTGGTGTCAATATAATTATATTTACACTTTGTTTTTTGGACAATCATTTCCAAACATAAGTAGTTCTCCTTCTTGAGCACAAAATTTAAGTGTTGAGCAATGGTTACATTCAGAAATGTGACATGATTTGCCAGAACTGAAAAAAGAAAAAAAGGAAATAATTTCCCGATCAAACTTCCCGTGTGTGGGAGATCTTCTGGAAGAAATTAAAGATTATAGATCAATTTGATACGCCACATTTTCCAGATGATTAATTTACACAATCAGGAAGAGAAATCAAAAGTTGAAGTTTTCTCGTCTTGGATGGGCGCATAAGCGTAAAGATGGCAGGAGGTGAAGAACTTAAACAAAAATTGAGCACAAGAAGTCGGGATCTGCAAGCGAACCTCGTAGAAACGGGGCGGAGAAGAGAACGACGGCGAGAATGAAGAAAACCCTAATCGTCATTGCTGCGGTGGGGAGTTTCAGGCAAACGCTGATGTTTGTCGATTGTCAGAGCATAACAACTGCGACTCTGCAAGAACGACATGGTGTCATGGACTCACTTGGTGCGTCTTTGGGAACAGCGTTAGCGATTAGCGTTAGCGTTTTGAAAAAACTATCTACGGACAGCGTTTAGCGTTAGCGTTTTCAAAACGATCTACACCGTTAAAATTTTATCCAAAATGCTAACGCTAATCTCTAACGCTCTTCCCAAACAGGCCCTGTATTTTGAGCGGGCCGGTTCCGTTGAGATTTGAGAAGGGCAAAGTTGGTTTTTGGCGTGAAAAAAAATAATCGTGGGGTTCTAGTGCCACTGGAGTACGGTGCGACTCCGGTACCACTAGCATTTTGGGTACCTTTGGTGCTCCGTTCGCAAAATTGACGGTTCCTACCCCCATAACTCACCCCCTAAACCCCCCACCCTACCCCCACCCCAACCCCGCCGTAAGATATTTAGAAGATGTTTGATGTACTGTTCGTAAAATTAATAATTTTTATGTCTAATTTCTCTAAATCTCCTTCGCTAGTCCATCTCTGCCCCTCACCCAAAGTTCACCATGACTTTGCCAATTTGATAAAATAATATAGTCATGTCACAACTAGTTTTGTAGATCTGTTCATATATTTTTTAAGACGTAATTTTTATTTTTAAATACCATACGAGTTTTCATATAAAACGGTTTTAAAATAATTTCAATCAAACATCATTACGTGCAACGAAAACATTATTATTGGACGAAGAAAGTATAAAACTAAATAAATTTGGATAATGAATTCAAAAGAGAATTACATTAACCAACATCATTGCCATTAATTAAAATACTAACACAGTAGTTTTAATAGTTTGGAAACAATAATATTTATAACTTTCTAAATCACTTCATAGTTTGTATTATTAAAAAATTATTGTAATTCAAATTCAAATAAAATATAAGTAAGAGCATTCTTTTAAACTTCGGGTTTGATATCTCCAATTTATTCGCTGATTTTGATATGATTCAATTAAGTTCTGATCTATTCTGATAATCGTTATATTCAAAACATTTTTTAAATTTTAGTTCAATAAAAATAAGCTATAAGTAAAAAGAATAAATAAAATAAAATTAACTAATTTTATTTTTAATTATAACTTATTTACTCTATATATTTTGAAATTAGATCAAACCTGAAACAAATCAAAATCTCATGGAATCAAATCAAAACTAATCTAAGTTGCTTATAAACTTTTATTTTAATCAAACCAAAATGTATTTCTAACTTACTTTGGCATAAATTATGAACACGGATAAACCCTGTTGCCACCTGTAACCGAATCGCGTGGAGTGAGCCCATATTATCAGGGGCACACCCATCTCATCCACCATGGATCGATCGAGCCACGTCCCGAGCACATCCTTAGCTGAATTCTGCAAGCAGCCTCTTCGTCTTCGCGATATGAACCTTAATCAGTCACCTCCCTGTTGCAGGTTAGCCCTAATTCCATATGCGTATGATTTGCACTTTTCTTCAGTTGTTATGAGGGGAATAGCGTGTTATTACTTCTGCTGATGATTGTTAGTTCATGTTTAATGTTCGTTCTTCTTCAAGCGCATATAGAGGTGCTGCGGACCGCCGCCCAGAAGGAGAATTGAAGGACAATTCAGCAGCTCGGAAAGTGCAGAAGGCCGATCGCGAGAAACTGAGGAGGGATCGATTGAATGAGCAGTTTGCAGAATTGGGGAGCATTCTTGGTACATTTATTCATCATATTCTTGTTTATGATCGGTTTGATTGCTTTACTCAATTAGTCTCGTTAGGGATTCGGATTATTAATTTTAGCAATTGCTTCTCAAAATACATGTTCAGATCCTGATAGGCCTAAAAATGATAAAGCCTCTATCATAGTTGATACGATTCAGATGGTGAAGGAGTTAACTGATCAAGTTTGCAGACTCAAGGATGAGTATGCATCTCTTACTGAACAATATCGCGAGGTGAGGGAGGCGCCTATCTCTTGACTCTTAGAGCTGTTTGTTTGTTTATTTATCTGGCTGAAATGTATGTTTAAATGCCTCTCGTTAATTAAGTTATTAAGATATATACGGGCCACTTTCTTGTCCCAAACAGCTGACTCAAGAAAAGAATGATCTTAGAGAAGAGAAGGCAACCATCAAATCTGATATTGAAAGTCTGAATGCTGAATACCAACAAAGACTTAGGACTATGTATCCATGGTCTGGGGTAGAGCATCCGTTGGTCATGCGCCCGCCTTTATACCCTTACCCAGTGCCCATTCCAATTCCAACCGGACCGATTCCAATGCAGCCTTATCCGTTCTATGGGAATCAGAATCCAACAGCCATCCCCAGTCATTGTTCAACTTTTGTTCCGTATATGACTACTCTCAATCCAATTCTCGAGCAGCCCATCCCACACGTCTCATCCATCGTTCAACCTGGTAGCAGGAACTACAACAGTTCGAGCAAACAAGAGTCTAGAAACAAGGCAGATGTTCAAACGAGTGATGAATCATCAAATGAAGTTGAGACAGATCTAGAGTTCAAGACACCTGGATCCACATCTGAACAGGTTAGTGATAAATTTTGTATAAGCTGTATGTCTGCAGCAGGTGAATGGTCACCTAGGTGACAGTCTTGTTATGATTGAGAAATTGATATATAATGAAACATGCCACTTTACATAGGTGTCATCATCTGCACAAAAGGGGACTAGAAAACGGTCAATGGAGAAGAACAGCCTCGCAGATGGAAGTTCTTCTAGTCTGTGCTCATCGTCTCATAGCGTTCAAGTGTTTTCTTCAAGTAGTGTAATTGGTGACACGAAGAAAGATGAGAAGCCGTGTAGGGAAGCATAATGTGTGTGCATGAGTACTGAGTAGTTGTGGTAGTAGTAGCATTAGCAGCTAATTAGATGAGATAATTGATGGACCACATTGTTATAGTGTTACCTGCACGGGTGCCTGAACCCCAAACAGCAAATCAACTATCTTGCAGAATTATATGATTGTATGTGACATGATTTTTATGAAAGAGAGATTGTATATTTATTCAATGAAAATTGAAGTCAGATATGAATTGTATGTGATGGCAAGTAGATATTCTCATGGATCATTTATTGTCATTGAAATAGGCGTACTCCAACTAAGTTAAGAGATTTTATATATATATATATATATATATATATATATATATATATATATATATATATATATATATATATATATATATATATATATATATATATATATATATATATATATATATATATG